AAAGTGAAGTYAAGCAAAATGTGTCTATMAGAAACTTTGAAYTGACTGAATTGAAATCAATTATTACCAAACAGATCCTTTACCTACACCAGACGCAAAAACACAATGTAAATGGCAACGGTGTATTTAAGCCGARATGTGGTATCCTTCAGCTCGTGTTAGATGTCGACCATCTAAGTTTTCGTTTGTTATGGGGGCATCTATAAGGTGACAAAGGTTCGGAGAACTTGTTTTAATCATAACTTTTTTATTAAACATCAAAATTATACACTCGAAAGCCAACAAAATTATCTCCAAAATACATAAAGAACTATTCGAAATGGCCACCTTCAGCCGCCATACAGGCCTGTAGATGCTTGCGGAAATTTTTGACGATGGTCGCAGTGTTTTTTTGAGATTTCCCCCACGCCTGTTGGAGAGAACGCGAACGAGGGACTCGGCGGTGTTTTGTGGTTTGTAGCKCAGGCTTTTTGCTCCAGGATCGACCAAATTGCGAAGTCCATCGGATTCTGGTCGGGCGAGTCGGACGGCCACAAAGTCTTGTCMCAGGCGGCGATTTTTGCTTGTTGATTTTTGCAAAAATCCATGGTCGACCTCGCAKAATGAGCCGGCACTCAGTTAAGTTAAAGTGTTGTCGGCTCCAGGGGATGACGTCCTTCAAAATWCGTTTTTTGTAGACTTAGGCGTTGATCTTGACACCGCTCCCGACAAATACCAGCGGCGTCTTCCCGTTTTTCGAAATTCTCGTCTACATCATGACGGATTTCGGAAAGTGGCGTCGCTGAATTCGGTTTTTTCCTACAAAATCTTTGTTGGTCTGAAAGAGCAGAACATTCTGAGCAATACCGATCTGGCGATTGACGACTGATGTGCTCAATTGTGAACACCCTTTCGTCCGTGAACAAAATCGACCCGAAATATTTTTTCGAGGAGTTTATATTTTTTTTCGAATTTCGAAATATTTTTTCGAGATACGCATTCTTGAGTTGTGCTCGCTTCATTCGCTCATCCAAGTAATGACCTCTTACGAGCTTGTAGCTGCGAAGTTTTAGGCCTTTCCTGACCATTTTTCTGACCGCCTCTCTGTTAATGCCCACCTCCTTGGCCAGTTTTCWTATKKACTTTCCAGGATTCCGGCGAGTTCATTCGACACCTCAGTCTGTTTAGGTTCTCCGGGGTCGTTGCGATGGTCGGTCTTCTGCTTCGAGGCCTATCCGCTGTCGCGCYCAACTCCTCGTACCGTTTAATGGTTTTGTAGRTCGTGCTTCTKGGAATACAGAGGAGTTTCGTGATGTCAGCCGGCGACTTTACCGATTCGAACAATTTTAGGACGGCAACACGGTTTGTTTCACGGCTCATGGCGAAAAACGTAAAAACAATTTAACATAGGAAACAAACCTAACTTGAAACAACACACAAATGTCAAAAACACTATTGCCATTTAATTTAAAAAATTTGTCTCCGAACTTTTGTGTCACTGTATACAGGGTGTACAGTGACTGTGGTAAGAAGATGCATTCCTTGCAGGGGGTGATCGTGCAATTAATTTTGGATATATTTCGTTAATAGACCAGGTTCCGAAAACCATTAATTTCCGATCTACAGGGTGTTAAAGTTTTAATTAAAAAAATGTTATTTATTAATATTTCGGAAACCGCTTGGAATATTATAATGAAATTTGACAGGCTTAGGCAACTAAGAACAATATACGGTTTGCGATCAAAATGTTGTTTCTATCTTTTCCAGTGGCGTGGGTACAGGCACGTCTGTAGATAATTTTAAATAAAAAATGTTACGCCACCGATTTTTCTAAAAATAAGTAATATTTGTCAAGTTCCTGTTCAATTTGAAAGAGAAAAGGTATCTTGACTTTTTTCTACGACGTCCCGTTTGCGAATAAACAAATTAAAATCGGGTTTTATTAAAAAGTTGGCCCTGCACTAGTTTTTGTCACTGATTGACAAAAGTAATAATTGCTGTCATTTCGAGTGTCTGAGTATCTTTAGTTGTCACCTTYTTTTTGCGATTTATGTAATTTCGAGTAAGTTCACATAAGTTGAAAACTTTATTCCAAACTTCCAAATATCCGTGTCTTTGCAAACACCTATCGAAGGTCAGTGAGTCAGGAAAAGTACAAGGAAGGCAAATTCGCGTAGCAGCTCCAGCATGTTACGGCACCACTATCGAAGAAGTAATTCTAAGAGTTTTCCAAGAAGATCCGACGACAAGCGACAGTCTTATAATGTCACAGTGGAAAGTTCGGGAGACACTGAACAAAGAGAAACTACATCCCTACCATTAAACTCCGATTCAAGACTTGCTTGAAGAAGATCCTTTAAGCAGAAGGTGCTTCTGCCGATTTATGTTAAACGCTGATACGGAGAACTCAACTTTTCTCAGTAGAATTGTGTGGACCGATGAATCACATTTTAATCGAGAGGGGATTACCAACTACCATAATGCTCATTACTGGACCAAGGAAAATCCCTGTTTAAGGTCGAACCGTAATTACCAAAGACGGTTCAGTGCTAATGTTTGGTGTGGTGTAATAAACGATCAAATAATCGGTCCACATTTTCTGCTAGACATCTTAAACGGGCAAAGATACGAAGACTTTCTTATTAATCACCTGCCACCACTACTGGAAAATGGGCCGCTAAATCTTCGTCAGAACCTGATCTTCCAGCATGGCGGATGTCCTGCACATTATCGGCAAACTGTAAGGGAGTACCTTGATCAGTGTTTTCCTAATCGATGGATGGGGAGAGGAGGCTCCCATATCATGGCCTGCTAGAAGCCCAGATCTTACTCCGTTAGACTTTCACATATGAGGTAGGATGAAGGAGTTGGTTTATGCCAGAGAAGTGCATACAAGGGAGGAATTAATACAGCGCATTACAGATGCCGCTATTACACTTAGACAGACATTTTCAGGCCAGGGTAACTCGGACAGAAATAAGAAGGCGGCACATGCATGCGTTAGAAGAAAGGGGCTTCATTTTGAGCAAGATCTTAAGTAGTTAAGAATTAATGAATAACATAATTTTTTTCCCGTCTCAAAGTAAGCTTGGTGCTCATTTCAATACTAAGAATAAGTAAAATTTTAATTAACAGGTAAATTAATCTGATAGGTAAAAAACAAATAAAGAAACTCTAAGACTGATATTAACTGCGGCTAGTAATAGTTTTTGTAATACAATTGATACAATCTAACTGCGCAAATTTTGTTGTCTATACTAAACCCTACTTAACTGCAACCCAATTAAGCTATGCAATAAATAGATTTTAATTTGTTTACTCGCAAACGGGACGTCGTAGAAAAAATTCAAAATACCTTCTCTCTTCCAAATTGAACAGGAACTTGAAAAATATTATTTATTTTTAGAAAAATCGGTGGTGTTACTTTTTCTATTTAAAATTATCTACAGACGTGCTTGTATCCATGCCACTGGAAAAATCTGTATTGTTCTTAGTTGCCTACGACTGTCAAATTTCATTGTAATAGTCCAAACGGTTTCCGAAATATTAATAAATAACATTTTTTTTATTAAAACTTTAACACCCTGTAGATCGGAAACTGATAGTTTTCAGAACCTGGTCTATTAACGAAATATATCCAAAATTACTTGCACGATCACCCCCTGCAAGGAATGCATCTACTTACCAAACACCCTGTATATCTCTCGGAACTACTAGAATCTGAATGATGTACTCTGACACTTTTGCCTGGTTGGACCACTAATTTAGTTCGCTATTTGCTTCGCATGGTGGGAGTATTTTTTTGTGAATATCTGGTCATTTAAATAATCTCCGAGGATATTTTCCATTTCACCGTATGGCAATCTTTCAGTGGGCAGGTTATCCAATACACGACTTGAATTAAATGGTACTCGTTGCCTCAAAAGATGATTCAATACATTTCTTTACTGCGCATTGATAGTTTTAGTTTCGCCGTTGGTTTACGATGGTGTGTCGATTTCTTTTCCCCCAGAGTCTTTGGGACATGGGACCCTGACTTTAGGGAGATGTTGTGAGCATACATAATAGCACATTTAATTAATGTAGATTATTCCCTAAGATTTAGCACTGTTTGGCCACCACGGGATCTGCCATGTCGCCCATAATACCGGTTGTTTATTGTTCCATAAAGATTTTTCACTTTGTTCAAGGCTGCTTCTTCCAGTTCTCCTTCGTAGTTTCTGTAGCGCCGAGCAACCAGTTTTCTTTTGTATGTTATTGACGGTTTGACTGTAAAATTATGCAATTAAAATTAAATTCACACAATAACTCTAAAGGTAACTGAAGAAAAAATAATTAAAATAATCTAGTAATTGCTTAATCTGGAAAATAGGAATAGAGTTTTGTTCGATTACACCCTTAGTTGTTAATCAACTTAAGTTGATTGATTGATTATTAAGTTAACCCCATACTTCCAAATTAACATTTTAGACGACATTGGAAAATAAATAAAAGGCATATTAAGGTGATGTCATGCTAAGTTCATCCTAAACGTAGATTTACATCGAAAAGTTAATACCAATGAATACTCACTAATACAGGGTCCGGCAATGAAACGGGTAGATTTGGGGGTGGGGTTGGCAGAACGTCACAATGTGGTTGGGACGAAAGGCACCTTTGATCATGTGTGGCATGACCTACCATTAGTTTACAATGGATCGTTGGTAATAATTGGTCCATATTTTTAAGTATATTCTTAAGTCTTCCCGTTTTATTCCCAATTTTAAGCTTATGATTTGACGTGGAATGTTCTTACCACTTGCAGTGAAAATTTAAAATAGAAAACAAAATTTCATCACTCCGTCTGAGTGTTCTCTATACGATCTCAATACAAGCTCAGTGCAGTCATCTTAAAGATATTAGTAATTTGAGTGCCAAATTCAAATAAAGCCGGATTAGATAATGTGAACAATGTCACCCCGCAAGATCAAAGTAACTGCATTTTACGGTATATGAAATGAATAACCAAAGAACACTTTCAGCATGTAATTGAAAAGGAGAAGCTGGTGCTTGCGGTTGAGCAAGAAATTTTGAGGGTCCATGGACGAGCTGCAAGGGCATTGGCAAATCAATCCCTTCCATTTTCGGTATCTACGGTTCTTAGGGATGAAGAAATATATAATCTGATTACCCCGGAACAGGAAGAAAAAGATCGCAACGCTCGACCCAGATATAATGGCAAGTACTTTCTATTCACATGGAAAAGTATAGATAAATTTATCGTTTACTTTCTTGGTATTACTTAAGCCTGTGTCCCATGCATCCGTTTGCACGATGATGGGAAAGTGTTTCTATTGGTTGGGTGATCTGTCAGTTCGTCCGTCGTACCAAGTTGACAAATGTTGAATTCTTTACACGATGACTGTATGGTTTTTAACCTCACATTCATTGTTTACCTATTAGATTTGATGTTGAATTTATTGTAAGTTTTAAGAATAGAAACGAAATTTTCACGACAAGATGGGATCAACAAAGTGCTTCTGTTTTCATCATTATTTAAAATCACAAAGATTTTGGGTTTCAGATCATATTTCATATCATAAACTAAACGAATGGTCCAGATGAGTGTTTTTTTTTATTGATTTGGACCGATTCCTGACTGGTACCCGAGAATCTCACAACTGCAGTCTTGTCGCCGTTACACCGTTTATCAGGACATTTTTCACTGATATTGTAGGTACTCTCAAAATATATCTATGTTCCGACTCAATTTTACTTCCATCTCCTTGGATATATATTGATTGAATTGAATCAACTTTTTTCCGAAACCTTATATGAATGCCGGAACATTGACGAAAACAAACAAGTAAAATTAAATTTTTGAACATTAATTTCATAATAATGTTCAAAACGCACTTAATTTTTTCGAAAATCGTAAAAAGTTGAGACATGTGCTTTAGTTATATCTACGATTTAATACTTGACTTAACGTTAATCGTTGAACGGTTTTGTTATTACATATACACCCAATAAATAAATTATATTTAATATAATTAAATATATACCTCCATTCTAAAGCAATGTTGCCGAATCATTTTGCTTTCTATCAGAATATTCAATACATATATTTCTAAACATTCTTTGGAACATAAATTCATGTACGACCTGACATTTTTGTTTATCAACCGTAGAACTGAACTCGAGGTCTTCTTACTTCGGTATGGTAAGGATATAATTGTGAATCTGGCAAGCATGGTTATCATTGGTTATCGTATACATGGGACAGCTAGAAATCTCTGACCAATAGAAACACTTTCGCACCATCGTATGTACAAACGGATACATGGGACACATGCTTTATCCTCCTCGTCATATCCCGCCTAAAATTGCCATTTTGGTCTTTTCAGGGCGTTTATTTTTAAGTTGGTTGCAAGATGTCGATGATAAGTGGGAAAAGATTAAGGAGCACATGCTGGTTCGTCATCATAATGAAGCGGATTCCTTGAGAGCAGTTCAAAAAATGAACTGGGAATGGAAACTTAAAGAATTAAGTCTAGGCGACAAAAAACTAACACCGAAAATTGACGAATTGCATGTTCCTGAAGTACATGTAAGCGATGATTTCGACCTTCTACCAACATAAAATGTTAATCATTCAATAATTGAATGATTGATATTTTAGTTATTAGAGTAGCAATGGTGAGTATTGTAAGCCATTTGGTTATTCTTTGTACCGTTCTTTAATATTATTTGGCAGCAACCAGTACTGGATTTGTGTTAATTTATTATTTTAAAATCAATAAGTATTGGTTAAGAGCGATAAAACGGAATTAAAGTTGTTTTCTTATTTCGTTAGCATTTAATATCACGTATTTTAAAATATCATAATATACAATTATGTATCACAAAGTATCGTGTAGAAATGTCTCATGTAGTTTTATATAACATTGCATATAAATGGCTCAGAATGGAAATCGTTGATCAGCGACCTACTTACTACTTGTGGAAGTAAGTTGGTTGGATGAAAAAACATACACGCACCGAAGCAACTTCCTATCGCCCAAATTGAGATAATGTTCACAAATAAATTTTTTTAAAAATATCAATCCAAACCCGTTTTTCAATAACATTCCATCATTGACACCTATACCTACTATACGTATACCAACATCACAGAAACAAAAAATACAGGGTGATTCAAAATTGGCGTATTTGAACGATATTGCTTTGTTTCGTCGGCTAATCACTTGAGCCTCCGAACAAATGGTCCCCATGTTGCTTCGACACCTGCTTCCAGAATTATAGTGTTTGGTAGGCTTGGCGTCTCACTGACTTCGAAGAGCTGATCGAGATTGCCACTGAAGGCGACAACAACCTGGAAAAAATGACAGGAAAAACCCCACTCACGACGAACCCCCTGCCCATTGTACCTCAAGCACCCGGCGCCTCTCAGCATATGCAGGGACAGGGTCGTGATTCCATTCCGGAAGATAATCTCCGGAGCAACTCGAGCGAATGGAGAGGGATCTACTCCACCCAAAGAAAAAAAGTTATACAAAACTAGTAATTTAAAGAAAATTAACCAACTAAAACCAGAAAAAGGTAACGAATTGTTTTCTAAACATATACATATAGGTACGCTCTGTTAACCGTTGAATCTAAATGTAAAATAGGATGTTTTCAATGTATCAAAAATTCCTACAAACTGAACATTAAAAGATTAAATCAGTTTATTCTATCTATCTTTTGCTATTTTGTTAAATATTTAATAAACAAATTCAGCTAAAATTCAAATTATTCATGAATCTCTAAAACGCAATCCTATTGGTTGTGACATCTCTGGTTATATAAATGGCGGATTGTTTACGTTCTATGCATACTGTTTAGTTGTGTGGTGGTGTTTCATTAATTATTTTGTGGATTTAAACAATTTACCATGTGTACATATTTTTATGGTTACCGAATTTTTAAAAAACGACGAACGTCAAGCGTACGAAGCAAAAATTCGTAAATTYATTATTAGTTACTCTCTCCTTAATAGACCAGTCTGTCTGTATTGGTTTAAATTAGGTAAATATTATATAMAATTTCACTTATCCCACTTAACCTATCCTATGCACATGGCTGCTTTAAAAGTAAAATGAACTCTTAAATTTGTATTTTGGGCATCACGAGAACAATATGGTGATATCGGATATGTGGAATTGAATCGCGAGGATTCTTTGTGCACTGTACAAGGTAGAATTTGCCCAGAACACAGAGTACGATCGAATGCATATTCTGTCTGCCTCATCATTAGCTTTTTGTTTGTACTTTCGAACATCACGTCTATCTGCTTTGAACCATAAAACTTTACGTGCATAATCATGGGGAACGGTTAGAAAGAGTTTGTTTAGAGCACTTATTGAGGTATTCTTGCATCCTGGCACAAAACACCACTTATTTTGTGATCCATACATGTCACTATTTTCCATTATGCAAGATAATAATAATCAATAAAATAATGATAATCACAATAATTTAAATAATAAAACAAAGCTGCGAAAACAACAAAATAAACACGAGACACTTTGTTGATATGACTTGTTGCGTCACAATCGGGATAGGCAACCGACGATACGAATTCGGCGTTTTTGGCGGAAAACATCTGATTTGAATTTAAATTTGCTTTCAAATTATTATGGACTTTTTTTTGCAAAAAAAATGATGTCAGTGTAATGTTTGCCATAACTACTTTCTATATATCATATCAACATTAAAAAATGTGAAAACACCCTATTGTTTCCTCGCATAATGAAACTCGAGAAATTCTTATACTGATGGGTATTGTAACGAAGGTTACTAAATTTTTCTTCCTGTCCGGTTAATTAACGCCAGCACCAGGTGAATGGTCGTTTTCAAGAACCCCCGTAAACGGATATTTATTTACTTATTAAATAGTATTTTACAATTGTATCGATATCTCGCACGTACACCACAAAATTTCGAGAACGATTCTCACCAAAAAGGGCTCCCACTACCAGCTAAGGTGAGAAACGTTATTTCAGGAGACGCCCAGTCCATTTTCGGTCACTTTTTCCTGTCCTACCCGACCGACTCTTCTTTCCTGCCCCACCGATTTTTTCGCCGAGTATTCATCAGCACCGATCCCGGCCAAGTCGTATTAACACCACGAGTTGCCCGATTCGCAGTAAAGAAGGTACAGTGCGTAGACCATTTCCGACATTTCTTCCAGTGTAAGAAGCCATAGGGCGATTTGATGTGTCTTAAGGACATTCCTTTATTACGAAACCAGTGAAAGTTGTAATTTCTGGTTCATCTGCAATCTGTCGTGTTTCCCCATCATTCCATCCCCAATAAGCGATGTTTTGCACCGTCTGCAGTAATTTTGCTACACCGTGTTTGTGACCGATGGTCTTCATTCTGGCCATTTCGTCAGGCATGGGCTCAGAATGTCCAGCTGGCCCTCGGACCATCGTTACTTCGAGAACCTAGCGTGTGTGTGACCACTGGTGGCCATCCTGGACTTGTGCTTCCGGCCAATTCGCCAGGCCTGGACTCAAGGTTTCCGTCTGGTTCACAAATCGCCGCTGTTTCTGAGAGGTCAATGTGTTTTGGGACCGTAAGCTGTCATTGCGAATAGTGATATGATAGTCATAAATACAAGAAAGGAGAGGTCAAAGCTAATAAGGAAAACAACGTCTAGAAAATCATTAACAACACAAAGCGCAGACCAATACGTACAACTCCTTAATTCTCGTCTATCACGAATGCTGACAAATGAAGAGGATATAGACATTGAGGAAACAAACAAACAAATAATAACAGCAATGAAAGAAGCGGAAAACATGTGCAAGCAATCGTTTGGAGTTGCAAAGGAGGAGAAGTTGAGTTATAGTACTAAGAAGTTGGTGAAAAAAAGAAGAAATCTAACAGACAAACATCAAAACAATGCCACTCAGCTAAGAGAAATCAACAAAGAAATATTAAAGGCTATCCGAAGATCTGCAAGGCCACAATAAACAGAGGAAATAACTAGGATGATAGAGGAGAAAACAGGAGAATGAAAGTGCTTAGGAAAAAATTGTCAGAGGGTAAAAAGCAATTAAGTCAGATAATTGACAACAAGAACGGACAAACCACCACAAATAAGCGAGACATCCTGCTAATCGTGATAAGCTTCTATGTGGAACTTTGTAAGAAAACTACAACAGAAATTGGCGTAGGCATTTCAGTGATACAAAACCAGGGATCAGAAGACATCCCAGAAGTAACTCAACACGAAATAAACAACTGCTTAAAAGACATGAAAAACAATAAATCGCCAGGAGATGACGAAATTAGCACCGAAAATATAAAACTAGCAGGACCAACATTTCTAAAAATACTGTGTAAACTATACAATGCTTGGTTAAGTTGGTGTTTTAAGTTTTGAAACAAAAATACCTCTACTTTCTCCACATTCATCTATACCAGCGAAATAAAAGACCATTACAGAAGTTTCTAATCGATTCATCCACCAATGATCAATATCCCTGTAATCAAAAACAATAGCGTTTTTGAAGTAGATTTTGAACGTATTATGAATTAGCATATTATTGAAATAATATTATTTCAAAAAGTAATTTACTAATAAATCAGCTTACAGTTCGATATACATTTACATCTATATTAAAAATTCGAAAATATAAATATATAAATAATGAAGTACAACTCGAAAATAAACCAAAACAAAGTCTTCTCAAACCTGCAGATCTAAAGAAACTAATCACAATTCTACTTTTGTTGTCAAATTTAAGCACAAAAGTTTTGGGTTATACGTAATCCACTTTCCTTTCAAGACCTTGGCTTCTATTTCGGGCTGAAATATTTTTCTCCCACTTTCTGAGTCAAAATAGCATTAACTGAAACATATAAAAGTTATAGCATTACAGCCGAATATAATACCATTGAAAAATACTGTTTTATAAAGAATGTATGAAATTATTATTAAAATCCTAAAATAGTCGCTAAGGAGGGAAAAATAAATACATTAAAAAAACATTTTTTTGTCAGAAAAATCCCCTTTCGGTTATGTTAAAATAGGTTGCTACTAGCAATCCTGAACAAATTCTACACATTTATATTTGTCACTTATACTGTGTATATTCTCCATTTACTTCATGTTTCCATCTAAGTGGCTCTTTTGACGTCGTCATACATTTTGTTTTGTCTGTTGAGATTATCATGTTATATTTTTTTACTGTTGTGTTGAAAATGTGAAGTAATCTCTGCAGATCGTTTTCATCTTCCGCAACTATTACGGCGTCGTCCGCGTAGCAGAGTATTTTTATTTCAATATAGTCCAGATGATACCCGTTGCCAAGTCGTACTTTTTTTTATTATTTCATCCATAATAACATTGAAGAGCAATGGGCTCAGTGAATCTCCTTGTCGGATTCCACTATTATTAGGTATGTCACCCGTCAAGTTTCCATTAATGCGGGCCTAAACTTTGGTGCCGTGGTAAATGTCTTCTATGGTTTGGATTATATTGATGGGTATGTCTCTTTTGTATAACACGTGTACTATATCATCTATTTTTACACGATCAAATGCTTTTTTCAGGGTAATAAAGCATAGAAAGGCCGGTTTATTATATTCTATGGAATTTTCTGCTATCTGTCTCAGTACAAATACAGCATCCACACATGATTTTCCAGATCTGAAACCCTGTTGTTCACCTGAGAGTGAAATAATAGAGTTAAGCTTATTAGTAATAACCTTGGTAATTAGTTTATGTGCAGTATCTAGCTAGTTCATGTCTCTATAGTTTGGTGGTTCCTGTTTGTCTCCTTTTTTAAACATTCAAATTGTTGAACTTTTTTTCCATCTGTCAGGGATTCTGCATTGGGTTAGAATGATCTGAAGAAGATTTGATAGTATTTATGTTCGTTTTCCATCTCCGTATTTTAGTAATTCAATCTGGAGCCCGTCTTGTCCTTGGGATTTTCTATTTTTTAATGATATCAAGGCTGTTTCAACTTCAATCATAGTAACTTCTACATGTTGTCGTATATACAGGGTGATTTAAAATTGGCGTCATTCCTTTTAAGGGGTGATAGAGGCTCACTTGGGGAGTACGAGAAAAATATTGAATTTTTTTCAAAAATTTCTAGAAGATATCTAGTTGAAGATCGAATTTCAACTTTGTTATTAAGCATTATTTTCAAATTGTTCCATGTTTAATTGGTAGCACATTGGAATACTTAAGCATTCAAAAAGAAAAATAACCATCCCTGCTTCAAATTACGAAAATTTTTGATATCAATAAAGTTCTCTTCTACAATTTTGTGATAAAAAATCACAGCGGCAATGATGTTTTCTGTCATTAACAGATAGTTACAGGT